AGGGGAATTCAGAGGCGGGACCTGGCATACCCTGGAATTCTATGCCCCACCACTATAAATTTTGGTGTCATCAGGATGAGAAGATGACTTGAAAACAGGCATATTATTCTTATCTACCATATCCTTACTGAAATAATCTAAGAAATATGGGAAAATTAGCCTAAGTCCTGGAATTAGGGAACAGAGTCAGCCATAAGCTTTAAGAAAAATACAGGGGAGATGAGAACAGACTGAAGGGAGACCCGGCTCCTGCAACTCCAATTCTGCCCCAAGCAATCCCAACCACAGCACCAATCTCCAGAGGATCAGTAACACCCCTTCATTTGGAGGCCCATAGCAAAACCAGAGTAGGCCAGGGGATAGACAGGTGCTGCAGTGCGGCAACATTCAGAAGTGGGTGCACACTGCCTCAGCAGGGAAAAAAAAAAATCAGAGGGTGGGGTTCAGTTCTCAGGAAGGCATAGCCATCATCTGATAACTGGGCCAAAGACACAACAGAGACTCCTGTTTCAGTGTTTCACCAACACAAAGGAAAGCACAGTGTTTAAGCTATCCTAAGAGTGCCTAAAGCCCACCTTCAAGCCCCAGCCATTCTATTTAAACTAAGCCCAGATGCCTGAACTAAGAGTAAGTTGGGTGTGGGTGGCTCACACCTGTAATCCTTATTCAGGAAGCAGAGTTCAGGAAGATTGAAGTTTGAACCAAATCCAGGCAAATAGTTTGTGATACCTTATCTCAAAAAACCCATCACAAAAAAGAGCTGATGGAGTGGCTTAAGGTATAAGTCCTGAGTTAAAACCCCAGTATCCCCCTCACTACACACACACACAAATCCTAGGGACTTGGGAGGTGAGGATCTGATTTGAGGCTAGCCCCAGTCAAAAGACTGGGAGGATCCTCACCCCCCAATCCTAGCCAATGCCTGGACACGGTGGTGTGCCTGTCATTAGCTATGCCAGAAAGCAAAAATAAGAGGATCACAGTCCAGGCTGGTCCAGACAGAGACCCTATTTCAAAAACAACCAAAGCAAAAAAGAGCTAGCAGAGTGGCTCAAGTGGTAGACTACCTGCTAGCAAGTACATCGCCCTGAATTCATGTTGCCAAAAAAAAAAATAAAAATAAAAAAAAAACTGAGTCAATTCTAACAGCATTGAAGTACTCAATGAGGAACTCCAAAACAACACATCTATAAGGAGATAAAATTTTAGACTTGAACAAAATGTTTCCCTCTCAAGGGTAAACAGAATAAAACCAACATGGGGCCTGAGAATTGATTCTACAATATCAAAAAATAACACAATGACAAAGGTTAGTCAAAAAAATGCATTTCAAGTAGTATTCCTTAATCTGTTTTCCATAAACTTCATGAAAACATGATCTCTATGATGTATAAGAAAGATGAGACAAAATGGTAGAATGATATGCAAAAAAGAGCTTATTGGATTAAACAGGACAAAGGAAAGTAGTATGGAGCAGAAATTTACACAGGTCAAGAAAACATCAATAAACTTTCCAAAACAGAAATGTATAGGATACATATGTAGTAAAACTAGAAATTGTAAAACAGGAAGCAGATGGCAAGGGAATAAATTAGGAAAAAAATCATTAATTTTACGTAAAACCCTGACATCAAAACTGGACAACACAGGAAACTACAAGACAATCTCGTTTATTAACACAGAAAGAAGAATTGCAACTCGCATGGCATTCTGCTTTATTTAATCTGAGTATGGTGGCATACTGAAGAAACTGAGTACCTAGTCCCGTCACACTGAGGGTAAGATCCTAGACTATGGTAAAAGTCATCATCAGAAACCAATGTCATGAGCTGTCCCTTGACTCTCTTCCAGAGAATTTGAACATCACCACCTGTACTTCCTTCTACAGGTGACAGGGAATGGTGAGAGACAAACCCAGAAGGATGAAGGGGACTACCCTGCTGAAAGCTGTTTGAACATTCAATGTGGGCCACCTGGGCAGCACTAAAAACTTCAGAGATGCATTGAGACATGGTGCAGGAAGGCTAATCTGTTGATGGACAAAAGCAGGAAGAAGTACAAAGTAGAGGCTAATCACAAGACTTCAATAATGTAATAGTCTAGGTCTCACTAATGAAAGTAATAGTGGGTTTGGAAAATAGAGAACCTGATGTGACTTTCAGAACTGGTAGCCATGAAGATGCAGTAGTGCAAGGCACAGTCTACAGAGGAGGAGACTATTATTTGCAGATCATGTAACTAATGAATAATTTATATTCAGAATAAAGAATTCCTACAATTCATTAATACAAAGACAAATGACCCAACTGAAAAATGGACAAAGGATTTGAATAGAAATTTCTCCAAAAAACATGTTCAAATGACCAACAAGCTCGAGGAAAATATTGGGTATCATTAGTTATTAAGGAGATGCAAATAAATCAACTACGAGAAACCCTTTTTCTTTTCTTGCCTATTGGGATGGTATGATAAAACAGACATCAGTAAATGTCTGTGACGCATGTGTGGAGATTAGAACCCTCAGACACATTGCTGATAGGCATGTAAAAAGGTATAGGTGCTGTGGAAAACGATTTGGCAGTTTCTCAAACAGTTACATAGGGTTACCATATAACTCAGCAAATCCAGTCCTAAGTATATACCCAAGAGAAAACACATGATATCCACACAAAGAAACCTGTACATGAGTATTCGCAATAGCACTGCTCATAAAAGTAAAAAAGTGGAAATAACCTGGAGTCCATCAAGTGACCAGTAGATGAAATATGGTACATCCATACAATGGAATATTATTTGGCAGTAAGAAAGAATGATGTGATAATATGGGAGGCCCTTGAAACCATCATGCTAAATGAAAGAAGCTAGGGGATGTAGCTCAATGGTAGAGCTTTTTCATAGCATATGGGAAGCCCTGGTGAGGGGGAGAGAAGCAAAGACGTGGGGAGAAAGAGTGTAATAACTCAGCTTCTTTTAGGGAGGTCAAAAGTTTTCAAATTCAATTGTGATGGGTGTATAAATGTGAATATACTAAAAAACTCTTAAATGCATGTGAATTATATCTCTACAAAACTATTTTTAAAGAGTTAATGTAAGGTAAAAACAAAAAAAAAGAGAGAGAGGAGTTAATGTAAGGTAAACTGAGGTACCAATGTCAACGTTTTTTTTCAAGACAGGGTCTTGATATGTAGTCCAGGCTGGCCTCTCAACTCCTCATACTCCTGCTTTATTTAGCCTCCTGAGTGTTGGGATCATAAGCATGTACCACCATACCTGGCTACCAATGCCAAATCTGAAAGTTCAAGACTGGGTGATTATGAAATGTCATTATTAATTGAAATAATAACAATGGCTACTACTTATTAAATAAATGTAAGTAAAATAAAGTGAATATACATATATAACTACATATACAAATACAGTTGTCCATCAATATTTGTGTGGGATTGGTCCTAGGACCACCTCTCAAACATTAAAACTTGCAGATGGTCAAGTTCTCTATATAAAATGGGACAGTATTTGCATATAACCTGAGCATATCCTCAAGAATACTTTGAGTTATCTCTAGACCACTTGAAATACATAAGACAATGTAAATGCTACTCAAATAGTTATTATACTGTATGGTTTAGGGAATAATGACATTGAACAAAAGTGTACATATTTAGTACAGATAACATCTTTTTTTTCTGAATATTTTTAATCTGTGGTGGATTGAATCCATGGACGTGGAACTCATAGGTATAAAGCACTTGACTGTATATAACATGCTTTGCACAGACACTGTATCAGTCTGTGCAAAGTGCTTTATATATTCTACCTCATTACTCTTACAACAACCCACTTGATAGTTATTTTTCACTCCCATTGTAGTGAATAGGAACTAGACAAAGAAGCCAATCTATTTGCCCAAGGTAAATAGTGAGATTTAAATTCCAAGCACTTGTTCAGGCCCATTACAGTCTGCAAGATGAGATATAGTAGGAAAGTAAAGGTGACTACCATTTTCACAATTAACTTAAATAACCTAGAATTTAGGTTATGAACAATACATTTATAAACTGCAGAGCATTCACCAGTTTCAGACTTAATAAGATACTAGCAATTTTAGTATGTCACTTTGCACATAAAAAAAAGCAACAGTTCTTCTAAACAACTATACCAATCCCAGTTCATTTTTCCACCCTTCATTGAAGCCATCTGGCTTTTTTCTTTTTAAGCAGAATATGGGCAGCAACACATTGAATCTCTGAACTAGAAGACTTTCAAGATCCCCTCTTACTCTGATGAGTTTACTAGTAGCCAGTGTTTATTCTTCAGCTGAGGAGCAATATCAAATTTTACACACCATTTAAACAATGAATAAACAACTAAAGCACAGATGACAAGCAACATTACAGGGAAGTAGAACCACCAGCTACTTACATCAAAGCCCTCTAGAGAGTCCTCTAATCAGAGCATATGGTAATCTGCATGCTTACTGTAGAAAGCACATTCATACAGAGTAAATGTTGCTTCAGTAAATTTAAAGTCTGGCGCAAATGTATAAAAATACCAACACCCTATGCCTACCAAAATTTTTTACATTAGTCGAATGCTTTACAGTCCACAAAGCATACTTGTAAAGTTAGGTCCCATAACACCTGTTATCATCATGCTAATTATAAAGAAAAGTAAACTGAAGCTCAGATTGAAAGATGTTACATATCTCACAAAGGTATGTTAAGAGTAAATAGAAGTATAACTAATACTTTCCTGAGTTACAAAAAAATCACTTAGCAGAAAAATTTATCTGCAATTAAATGCGCAATCAATGGCAAATTGTGGCAGTGATTGACCTTAAAACACGCAGTAGCTCCTTTTAAGAGAGGATTCTGGTCGACAGCCATTAAACCTTAACAGGCAACTACGCTATTATTTTTCCTCAAAGAAAAATTATTTCAGTACATAATAGTATTAAAATTATTAGAAAAAAAACTTATTTTAGCAAGTTTATAGCTTACCTAATGCAAAGCTGTACTCCTAGGAGAAAGTTCTTGATGCCATGGCCGTCAGAAAGCAGTATGAATGAATGAAGAGGGATCCATTTCTTATGTTTTGCTTCAAATTAAGTCACATTGATTTCTGAAAGGAAAAAGTCATGTTGAAAATGTAAGAGGTGCTGGTGCCATTCACTGTGCACATGTGCTGCCCTAATAAACACCAAGTATTTGAGTAGCAGAGAGAAAGCTAATCAGGTGTAATGTGCATACCTGTAATCCCAGCACTTGGGAAATGAAGGTAAGATTGACTTTAAAACCAATTTGGACTACACAGCAAGACCTTATCTTAAAAAAACAACCAACCAACCCCAAGCAAACAAAAGACATGTTTTTGGTTATATGAACTTTTATTCTGGAACTTCTTAGCTTCTGGCTTTGTATTTTTTAATTTTATTTTATTTATGTGCTTTTGAGATGGGGTCTTGCTATGCTACCCAGGCAGGTCCTGAACTACTGGGCTCAAGAGATCCTCCTGCCTCTGCCTTTTCAGTGTGTGCTACAGATGTGTACCACTGGGACTGGCTTTGTATTTTTTTCAATAAACTTTTTTATTTATATGAATTTTACATTTATAAAAAAGTTGAAATGACAGTACAAAGTACCCTTACACCTCTCATCCATCTTCCTTTAATGTTACATTTTTTTCCATTATTTCTGCACATTTGTTAAAACTAGGATACTAACACAGTCTGTATGTAATCTTTTTTTTTTTACCTATTTTTTTAATTCATATTTGCATACAATGTTTAGGTCATTTCTCCCCCCTTCCCCCACCTCCTCCCTTCTCCCCCTGTATATAATCTTGCAGAATGAAAATATCCTCTGGGGCCAGAGATGTAACTTAATGGTAAAATGTCTGCTTACTATGCACAAGACCCTGGAATAGATACCTAGCACTGCAAGAAAACAAAACAAATATCCTTTGAAGCCAGGTGTTATGGTACACACCTGTAATCCCAGCACTCTGTAAACTGAGTCAGAAGGATCTTAAGTTTGATGCTAGCCAGAGGCACACAGAGAGAATCTATCCGAAAAAAAAAAATCCTTTGGGGCTAGGACTGTGTAGTTCAGTGGTAGAGTGCAAATGTGCATGCAGGAGGCCCTGGGTTTAATTCATAGCCCTCCCAAAACCCATCATTTCTGAACAATAATATATGCTTTGGAAAAATGCTTTTAGTCTACTGATTGTTGATCAGCATTCTTTTCATCTTTAGTCAAAGAATTTAGCAAATTTTATTTTAAGGCTTTTAAAAAGCAAGGTACCTACTTTAATGAAGTTTGATTCAAACTCCCTTCAATTAAGTCAAAGCAGAAATGTTTCACTTAGAACTTCTCTGACAAATGTCCCACCAAGGTGAACTCTGAAATCCAACACAGAAGGTACTGGTATAGGCATCAAACCTCCACTCATTACTCAGTACACTTCAGTAAAGCCAAGGAGAATTTTTAACCACATTCTCACACAGAAGAGTTCAGGAGAAGAAGCCCAACAGGAACACATTTCAGTAAAATTCTTAACTGCACACCAACATTAAAAAGGAATTGTTCTTCCCTCAAAAAGTTACAAATAAGACAAGTGTCTATTCTAACTGTAAATATAAATAAGGTAAAAAGGGAAAGTTCATGAAAATAAACATAGAGTGTTGATTCAATTTTAAGACACATTTTAAAACATGTGAAATCAGGACTTGATCACCAGGTGGCAGTTTTAATCCTAGTCACTGCCTGAGACAATGGCTACAGCATTCCAGGAGTCTATCAATGTTTCTGATAGCACAAACGATGACACCATATGGAAAAACCATGTACACAACTCTGAACTGAAAAATATTCAGAAGTCTAATGAACACTTTAACCTATTTATTTTTACTTTATTTTTCCCCTTTTTATACAAGCATTTCAATATGCACTGTTTTTAAAAAGTCCAAGTCAAAGTATTTTTAAAAAGAATGATTTAGGTACCCAGCACCAGTGGCTCACGCCTGTAATCCTAGCTACTCAGCAGACAGAGATCAAGAGGATCATGGTTTGAAGCCAGCTCTGGCAAATAGTTCAAGAGACCCCTATCTTGAAAAAACCCTTCACAAAAAAGGGCTGGTAGAGTGGTTCAAGGTGTAGGCCCTGAGTTCAAGCCCCAGTACCATAAGGAAAAAAAAAAAGAATGAGTTAGGAAGTCCAAGGGATAAGAAAGCATTATGCTGTAGCTTCTGCAGCTTAACTGGCAGTGTCTTCCTCTTCTTGGTGACACATAAAGCAACTGAAATCGATGGCATCTAGGAGTCAACAAAACATGACATGAACTTAGCTGTTACAGTTTACCAGAAAGCTTGAAAATTACCTAACGGCCAAATGAAAATCACTTAAGAATGACAACCTCAAAAACCTGCAGGGAACCAGTGGCTCACATCTGTAATGTTAGCTACTTGGGAGGCTGAGATTGGGAGGTTCGAGGTCAGAAGGACAAATAGTTTGTGAGATCCCATCTCCAAAATACCCAGAGCAAAATGGACTGGATGTGTGACTCAAGCAGTAGAGGTTTTTTTTTTTTTTTTAAAGCACATAGCACTGAGTTCAAACCCCAGCCTCACAAAAACAAAAGCATTACTCCATAAGAAATAACAAATAACTGTTCTGATAATAAAAAGGGTATGTGTCCAACCTTGTAAGTTCTGCATGTCAAAAGTAAGACCTTTGCCAAGTTTCCTCCTCAGGCAGAGTTCTGCAGTGATTCCAAAGGAGGAAGGAGGAAAACCAGGGCAGGAATCTGCTGCAAGCAATCTTTTTCCTTCTTTTTTTTTTTTTTTTTTTTGTGGTACTGGGGTTTGAACTCAGGGCCTACACCTTGAGCCACTCCATCAGCCCTTTTTTTTGTGAAGGGTTTTTGCCCGGGCTGGCTTTGAACCTCGATCCTCCTGAGTAGCTAGGATTACAAACATGAGTCTCTGCTTCCTGAGTTGCTAGGATTACAAATATGAGCCATCAGCGCCCGGTGCTGCAAGTAATCTTGAGGAAGATTTACAGCAAATACACTTAACCAGACTCCTTTTCGAAAGCCCTCAGTGGTACCGCTTCTGTAAAGAGCAGGCATCATAAACACAGGTTCCACTAAATGTTTCTAACAGTTAATTCCTAAAAGAACAAATTCTTAAAACCACATTTTAAGGGCTGAAGGTGTAGCTGAAGCAGTAGAGAGCCTGCCTAGCAAGCGGCAAGCCCAGAGTTCAAATTCTAGTACCACCACTCCCCCAATCACATTTTTAAAGAGCTTACATTTCAGGAGTTTGAGTATTTTTTTTTTTTTTTTTTTTACATATACGGTCTAAAATACACTAACATAAAACTTACCATTTTAACTATTTTAAGCATACAATTCGGTGCATTAAGTAAGTCACAATGTTGTGCAACTATCACCACGATCTGTTTCCAGCACTTTTTCATCATTGCAACACTGTATACATTGAATAATACCTAACTCCACCCAGCACCTGGCAGTCTATGTTCTACTTCCTGTCTTTATGAATCTGTCTATTCTTGGTACTTAATTTCTGAGATTTCAAATTGTATTTGCCCTGTGTCTGGCTTATTTCTCTCCACTGGTACTTTGGTGACGCAGGGAACGAACCCCTAATTATTGGGTTTCTCATAATTTAATTGAAGACACTGACACAATCTCTTAGGTAAGCATGTGGTTCTTCCAGAAATTCTGCTGCTGTTCCAAGAGCCCCAAAGGCAGAAGATCCCAGCCTGACTCTTCCTTAGCCTGTGGAAAGGCCTGGTTAAACAGCTGTAATTCAAAGAGCAAGCTCCTGACAGTCCTAGAAGCCATCTAGGGGTGCGTGGATGGAGCAAGGGCATAGGGAGAGCTGTGTGGGCTGAAAAACTACAGGGGAGAAAAGGCAGAGATTTAATAAGATGCTCAGGACCAAAGACCTGAGATGGGCCTTGTATCTACCGGCCAGGTGCTGCTGCTGCTTGACACTGGATTAGGGTGGGAGACACCTGTTAGAGTTGAGGCTACACTGCAGTCGAGTCACTGAGAATGTCACTCGTGCAGGAAGTTTCACGGGGTCATGAGTCACCTTCCATGGCTCAGATGTCCGGGCAGATCTGCCCCGCCCACCTAGGCAAATCCAAGTAGGCGAAATAGAAACAACACGCATAATGGCCAGGGAGAAGGAAACTGAAAGATGGCCAAAAAGCGGGTCTGACGTTCAAGCCCTGGATGTCAGTCAAGAAACACAAGCAAAGTGGAGGCAGAAATAAAGACAAAGTCCAGATACACTGACACATCCCAAGAAAGGCAAAGTGGAAATATCAGGTTGACAGGGGCTAAGCTGAAACAACACAAGGACAGGTGACAACAAGTGACAAACAGCAACAGAGGTAAAAGAAACCAGTCAAGTACAGGCGCAGCCTTTCCCCACCCTCGGCTTAGCCTCGCCAGGCCTAGCGCGCGAATGGCTCGAACCCGAGGCCTCTAAGCGGCGCCCACCTGGCGCCCAGAAAAGCCGACCGACATACGGGGGCGGGGTCTCTAAACGCTCCGGCCCGCCGAGCCCTGCTGCCGCGGGGTGACCTTGGCAAAAGGTTGCCTGGGAGGCCCTCGGTGTCGCGGCGTGCACGCGAGAGACCGCGGGACTCGGAACCGGGTTGCCAGGACTGCAAACACCCGCGCGGCTTCAGCATCCTGGTCGAACGGATGGGCCCGGCGGCGCGCGCCCCGGGGCCTGCAAAGAAGCTCTTAACCTTTCCCCCGGCTTTTCCTCTTCTCACCCTCGCCACCCGTTTTACCGATCCCGCCATACCTGCTAAGGACTCTGCGCCCACATTTCCAGCCCAAAAGACGTCTCCGGCGCCCGTGCCAGGCCTGTTCAAGCGGTCGCCGCCGCTACAACCTCAACCTGATCCTCCCGCCCCCGGAAATGCTTCTCGGTCCCGCCCCCGAAACTGCCAATGCTTCCGGGGGTGCGTCACGAGAAAGCGGTTTGCGCGTGCGCAATCATGTTCTGCGCGGAGCGTCGGGAGAGCATGCTCAGGTAGCTGACGCCTGCGCAGTTCGGTCCGGAGTAGGTCAGACGTTTAGGGTCAGTGTGCTGATGGGAATTGGGGATCCTATACCGAAGTCGAAACCCTTTTAAAAGCTTGACTTTTCTCAGCTTGTCTAGCAGACATTATGTCAAAACCCGTGTCTGCCTCTACAGCGCCCACCCTGCTGTCGGACACCTAGTGGATGCTCAGTGTTTAATGAATGACCCAGTGCCCTCTGTATGGCTGGCATTGTGCTGGGCACCGGGGTCACAAAAATGGTGGGACTAGAATGCCTTCTCTAGCTTCCAATTCTGCCACCCCAACCCCTTCCCCCCACTCTCCTTTTCTCTTTATTCTGTCCCCACCCCAGCTCCCTCTCTCATTTAGAGTAAAAGAAAGGTAAATTTTCACTAATGGGATTTGAGCCTCGTGCCTTTGGACCTGTTCAGAGACCAAGGCCTCTCTTTATGTAAGAGCTAAGACATACTAATCCGAAATCCACGCAGCTGCAGAGTGGCTTCCGGATTTAGGGTGGATACTCCTGTTGAGCCAGACACACCTGTTTGATATTGTCTCTGTCTTAGCTCAGAGTACCCAGTTTCCAAGCCTTGTGCTCCACCTGGCTGCTTGTTGGGTTCCGGAATCCAGATGTGTTCAGAGAGGAGGCTGGGACTTTCCAAGACAATTATGCATAGAAATGCTGGGAAACGGAACCAAAGAAAACAAATACTGAAGCACAGAAATGGGGATGGGTACAGATCAGCTTGTCAGAAAGAATCTGGTTCAAGGGTATGTGCTCCAGGCACCCCTGACCCTTTCTTTTTATCCAGCTGAGGCACACAACCTCTATCAGTGCTTCCAAGAATTCCCACAGAGTATTCTAGTAACTACCATCCTCTTGAGTTCTTAAAAATCATTTTTGTTTAGGTAGCAGGGGAGATCCCTTGATCTCAGGGAGGTAGACATTTACATGAGCTAGAATGGATGACTCATAATTGTCCCAAACCATCCTGGTAATCTTATTCTCATTAGCCAGTAATTGGGTTAGGCACGATCGTGTGGCAAACTTCTTGCCAGTAATAAGTAGAGTCATTGCGAGGGAATTCTGGGAACATATATGTAGAGTCCATTAGGACTTCTAGGTGAGGTGTTCCTTAGTGATTTGCTGCTTTAATTTTCCTCCTGCCTGTAAGCAGACCTAAAACTTAGAAGTTCAGCCACCAGCCATCATGTGCCCTTGAAGTGACAAGCAAATCCTAAGGCTGGTGAAGCAAGAATAGTGAGAAAGTCTAGGTTTCATATGACATTAAGCTACAATTCATTAAGTTTTGGACTGCTTACTGTCAGATGCTTTGTTTCATCAGCCAATAAACTTCTTACTTGGACTTATTTTCAACAATATTGTGGAGTATTTATCTCCAAAAATTACTGCAACATATATAAATATATAAAGTTGCTAGGAGATAGCTTGCAAGAGAGTCAGAGGGAAAAAGACTTAAAAGGGGCTGAGGTTGTTGTTCAAGTGATAGAGTGCCTGCCTGGCGAGCACAAGGCTCTTAAGCTCAAACCACCAAGTACTGGAGAAAAAAAAGAAAATCAGGAAAATTAAGCTAGTCATGGTGGTGTATGCCTACAATTCCAGCACTTGGGAGGCTGAAGAAGGAGGATTTGGAGTTCAAGGCCAGCCTGACCTCTTAGTGAGACCCTGTCTCAAAACATCAAAAGAAAAAGACAAAACAAAACAAAACAAAAGTCAGGAAAACTAACTGAGGCTAGGGGAAAAGCAGGAATACAAACCTGGGAAATTAGACAGAGTCGATGTTCAGAAGCTACACACAAGTACTGTTCAAATTGGCTGATGCATGTGCTCTACTGACAAATATTTTGCAAATCATCTCTGATAATAGCATGGATGGTGGATGGTACTACCAACTACAGCAACATTTACCTGGGCCCATGTAGAATAAGAGCCAAATTGCAATATCAGTTTGGGACCCAAGAAAGAAAATGTCCTCAGGGCATGGGTAAACTAGGATATAAAACTTGCCATGCAGAGGTGAGCAACAAATTATCTTTGTTTTGTTCTAGGGAGGGAACATTCTTCCAGAGGATTCATGACCAAAGTCTGGCTTTACCATAGGCACACGATTCATATGGTTCAAGCCCCCACAAACTAACCATCTTAATTTTAAATGGACCTGAGTAGGTAGTATCTGTAGTTGGCAAGAACAAAAGCTTCTCTAGAACTCATTCTTGAAGTCTCAAAGAATTCCCACAGATAAGAGTTCCAAATGAATATGAACTCACAATCAGAAACTACAAAACCCATGAGGAAATAAGCAGAGAAGACAGAAGCAGAGACAAATTCAGAACTACTTGGATATTAGATATTTTAGAACCAAAGGCTATTTTAGACAGCATTTTAAAAAACAAAGATGGAGTTAAAATCTCAAATGAGAATCAAAACAAGGATAGAGATACTCTCAAAAATTACCAGGCAGAAGTGAAAAGGAGCCATTTAAAGAGTTATAGATATGCCTATTATAATAGTTTAAATATATAGCTCATTGGAAGAATTAAATATCAAATGAAATATAGCTGAAGAGAGATTGGTGAACTGCAAGATACATTTGAAAAACAAACAAACAAGAAAGCATCCCAGAGAGACAAGAATATGAATAAGAATAAGAAGGTCTATCATATGCTTATCAGTCATGTTAGAAGTAAACAATAAAGTGAATAGATGCAAAGCAATTGGAAAACAATGAGGCCTGAGAATTTCCCAGAATTGATGAAAGATAAGAACCCCCAGGAACATGATGAGTTCTAATCAGGACAAGGAAAAAGGAGATGTAGACCCATTATGGTGAACCCACAGAACACCAAAGAACAAGAGATGATTTTAGAAGCAGATTGAGAAGAAAATCGATAACCTAATGGAATGACAGTGACACATCTGACTTTCAACAGTAATATCGGGAGCACTAATACTAACAACTTGAAATAATACCATTAATGTGATGAAAGTAACTCTACCTCAAATTATGTACGTAGCAAAATAATCTCTTAAGAATGAAAACACAATACTTTTCATATGGACAAGAACTGAGTTACTTCTAATCGAACTTAACTGAAGGATCTTCTAGAAGATTCATTTCAGGAAGAAATAAAATTATCCCAGGAAGAGAATCTGAGGAAAAATAGAATTGGTGAGGAAACAAACTGGCAAGCATAAGTAAATAAACAAAAACCAAGGACAACAACATTGAAAGGATAGAAATAGAATTCTAGGTCAAGTGATTTCTAATTTGTAGGATTATAAAAGGTGAAAGTGGAACAATAGTATGTAAAGTATGAGGATTATTATAGCATTATAAAAGTTTGTGTCTGTTATCTGTTGCAAATCAACCAGATACAAAACCTCAAAAGCACACAACAGTTTTTGTTTATTGCTGTCTTCATCTGGAGGCTGTTGGGAGTGGGTTAGGAGGCTCTGCTGAGCTTGGCTGGACTTGCTTCCATGTCCAAAGTCAGCTGATCTTGGCTGTGGCTCTTGACTACTGCACATGTCTCTCACAGCTGGGCAGCTAGCTGGGCAGGTCCTCAAGGCAAGGGCAGAGATGCAAAATGGAAATGCACAAACATATTTTCAAGATTCTTCTTACGTCTCATTGACCAAAGCGAGCCACATGGCTGAATCCAGGGCGATAGTAAGATGGAGCTATAAAGGTTTAGAGCAAAGGGTTTGCATAGAAGAAGAGGTAAAGAATTGAAGTGTGCAAATGTTCAATCAATCCAAGGTCCTCCCTTTGTCCATAAAAATATTGATTCATTTTAGACTTTTAATAAATATGAGGGTTAGTTTTTTTCTAAGGGGTGGTACTTGAACTCAGGACCTCATGCTTGCTAAGCAAGAATTCTAACCAGTTGAGCTTTTCCCACAGCCTGAGGGTTATAACTTTTTAGGGTTATAATTGAAAGACTAGAACTAGAATTCTAGGTCAAGCAAGATGAAGAAAAATTGCAGAATATATATATTTTTGAGACAAGGTCTTGCTCTGTTGCCCAGGCTAGCTTCAAACTCTATCCTCTTGCCTTAGCCTCCCAAGTACTGGGATTATAGGTGTGTGCCACCATGCCTAGTTTGCAGAATTTCTTAAAAGGAAGGGAATGCAGAAAAGAAGGGGGGAAATAATGGCAGAAATAAGATAAAAAAGTGGGAAAAAGACAAAGCACAAAATAAAGTAGAAAAATAAATCCAAATGTATCAACAATCACAATAGATATTTTCAAAAACCTTAAACCTAGTTAAAAGACATACATAACACCAGATTGATTGCTTTTCAAAAATCAAGTTATATCTTGTTTAAAGCACAAAGAAAATCTAAAATAAAAGCAATTGATGCTCGCTTTGTTAAATTAACATTGGATAAGTAGACAATAAAGCAAAAGGCATTGCTATAACTACTGTGGTAGGCTGTGGTTTTTTGTTTGTTTTTGGGGTGCTAGGGTTGAACACAGAGCCTGCAACTTGAGCCACTCTACCAGCCCTTTTTTGTGATGAGG